GCCCAGGTCCCGAGGCCCGGGTCCGGGTCTGGGCACCCGGGCCGAGAAGGGCTGAGGGCTGGGGAGACCGAGGCCCAGCCTGCGTGTCTCGCCGTCCCGGGGGTCAGCCGAGGGCCCGCCCCGCCTCCCGGCCACGCCCCTGGGGCCTGGGCTGACCCGAGTGAGGCCCAAAGCCCCGGCCTACGGGGGAGCCAGGGCCCGTGGGGCTCCGTGTCCTGGACTAAGCGACTGCACCTCCCTGGGATGGAGCGCAAAGACTTCCAAATCTCCATTTGGTGGCAAAACACATCTGGCCAAAAGTCATCCGTGGTGCACGGTCCGGGGGACCTCACGTGTTCAGAGCACAGCACCACCATCGGGAAACTGAGCAATAAACACGTGCTCCCACCGGCCATCGGCCAGCAGCCCGCTTCCCCTGTCTGTGAAGTGGATCAATACTGTTTTTATCACTAACTGTGTTTTGGCGGTTCTGGGATTCAGACCCAGAGCTTTGTGATCACCAGCCAGGCAGGTGCTTTACCACTGGAGCCAGGTCTCCGGTCCATTTTGTTCTAGTTATTTTCAAGACAGGGTCTCACTTTTGGCCTTGGTGGAGGGGTGCGCCCCGACATCTGCCTTGTGTAGCAGATTCTGTCCCGGGCGCCAGGGACCTGACCTTCCCAATCTGCCTCTCACCGAGCCGGGCCGCCTGCCCTGGGCCGTGGGGCTCTGTCCTGAACCGACTTCTTACAAAGAGCTCAGCGCCCGTTTGCCACGTCTGTGTGGCAGGAAAAGAAACGTGTTCTCTGTGGATAAGTACGTGAGGAGACCTCGGTACGTCACACACACAACACGCGCACAACACACAGCCCCCAGCACACACAGGCTCCCTCAGCCACAGGGAGGCTGGCCGCGTGGCCCGCCGGGCACAGGGGAGGCCGAGGTAGGAGGGCTGTGGCGGGAAGCCGGCCTGGACAGAAGCATGAGGCTCCCTCCAAAACGCAAAGCACAGGGAGGCCGGGACTGGCCCGGGCGGGGGGGCATCGAGTGTACAAAAGCCTGTCTCAGCGCTGCCTGGAGAAGAGGGCTTCGCCTTTACACACGCACACACGCACCACGCACACACACACGTGTGCTGGAGCTTTCTGGCAGAGCCGTGGGACAAACCCGCCGCGCCGGGTGCGGGTGCCGCGCTCCGAGCTGCTGTTCTGCAGCAAAAGTGGCCAAGGTGCGCGTGCCCCTGGACGAGACGGCCCGGAGGCCACAGAGCCGGAGCCGGAGCCAGAGCCTGCGCTCGGCCCGGAGGCCACAGAGCCGGAGCCAGAGCCGGAGCCAGAGCCTGCGCTCAACCCGGAGGCCACAGAGCCGGAGCCGGAGCCAGAGCCTGCGCTCAACCCGGAGGCCACAGAGCCGGAGCCGGAGCCGGAGCCTGTGCTCGGCCCGGAGGCCACAGAGCTGGAGCCGGAGCCGGAGCCAGAGCCTGCGCTCAACCCGGAGGCCACAGAGCCGGAGCCAGAGCCAGAGCCTGCGCTCGGCCCGGAGGCCACAGAGCCGGAGCCAGAGCCAGAGCCTGCGCTCGGGGTGATGCCCGCCCCCCCATCAGATCCTGACGGCGGATTTCTCAGTGACAAACCAAACACAAAGGGCCACACGCGCTGCCAGACACACGTGTCACCGCCGGCGCTTCAGGGGCAGCTGGAAGGTGCCATCGCTCGCCGAAGAGATTCTAGAACGTGGACGGCTCAGAGGAGCGTCCGTGACCCTTCCCCCGCGTGTCCCACACGGCCACCAAGACAGAACTTCCAGAGATAAATGGACCCACACCCCCAGACAGACAGACAGACGGGACTCCCAGCATGCTTTGCTCACGCCTCCCCACCCCAAGGGGAAGAGCTGAGCTCACTGGGTGGCAACAGCTGCTGAGTGGTGTGGGCGGCTGCTGTGGGCCGGGGCTGGGGGGGGGAGGAGGGAGGGGGGCGTGGCACAGGCAGCA